GTAAAATCTTAGTTATCCAGCACTTAGCAGGGAACACAATTCTACCTCAGGTAGCAAAATAAATTATAAACTTATCAGTTAGCTTACCTGTCAAACAATTGTTCAGTTTTTACTGCTATCCAAAGCATATGCAAGTGGGATTTTTTTAAAACAAGATAATTCACAATCTGCTTACTGTATATTTTCCTTTTCCCCCTCCCACCATGTTTTATTGCCTCTATTCCCACCTTTATTTGTTTGATGTTAGTGTACTGGAATGGGCACAAACGTCCTAATTGTTATATGCAAGTCATATGAGTCACAAGACATCTAAGTGCAAAATGTTGGAATTTCTTATCCTGAGTAAAAGGCTTTTCATAGCATGTTCAGTCAGTTTTCAGGAACAACTGTAATTTCTGTTCTAGCTTGGGTACTCAAACCCACTTTATTTGCTTAGAGCAATGTTTCTCAACTTTAAGATGTGTGGACTTTTAGTTCCCAGCACTCCCCAACCAGTGCAGTATAAGGGTATCAGGGTGTTGAAGTCCACACAACTTAAAAGTTGCCAAGGTTGAGAAACAGTGCTTTAGAGTATTGCTGGAGGATTATATCATGTAGATCAAGATTGGAGAACTTGCAGCCTACCAGATATTACAGAATTACAACTCCCATCATCTGTCACCATTGGCTATGCTCCCAAGTGCTGTCAGCTATAGTTCAGCAATTTCTAAAAGACCCCATATTTCACTGTTTTTACTGTGGGGTTTTGTGATCATGAAGCGAACAATTCCTCAGTGAAATGGTTTTATCGTGCTTTTGCACACAGGGCACATTATATTCAGATATGTGAAATTCTGGACAGTAATTATTAAAATACTTACCTGAGTAGCCTGAGAGCAAGATTTAGCAACAGCTTTGTTATTTAAGTTGTTGTGTGTTTGCCTAGTTTATCAACGTATAATATTATATGTATGCCCTTTACATAAATCTACAATCCAGCGAGTATTGAGTATATACTTATATTTGTGATGACATCTGCATCATTCATTGAATTTGTGTTTTTAAAACATTTTAGTTTTCAGAAAAATGATTCAAGTTGTTAAATTCCACAGAAATAGTCCAACAGAGGCTTTAAATCCAATCTTATGGAATAGGAAGCATGGACAGAGGTGAGAATGTGTAATTCAATCTTTCTGTTTCTCCCTCAATTTAATGTGTAATTCAATCTTTGCTGTTTCTCCCTCAATAATTCCTATTCCTCAATGGTTAAGAATAGATTTCTCAACCCTCCACCCAATGAGCATTTGTCAGATGTGTTGAACTTCAGCTCCTATCACATGTAGCTTGTCAAGTCTTCAATAGATTTACAGACTGCAAGGGTGGTAAAAGATGGCTCCTGTGATCACAGGCGTGTTCTCTACAAGAATTGTTTCAGTCACAATTTATCACTTTGTTTTAGTATCCTAGAAGTGAATAGTACAATGACTGCCATTTCTATTAAAAAAACCCAACAATTTACTGTTCTCTAAAAAGATTACATATACAGGAGAAAACTTTTGAAAACGAATTGTTAAAATATTTTCATAGTTGTGGAGATACTTCAATCCTTTTCAGTTTTAGCTGACTAACTCCCTTAGCTGTTTTAGATCAGTAGTCCCCAAACTTTCGGGCGCTGCGGATCTGCATGGGGCAAAGGGGTTGATTTCACACATGTACCCTTAGTTAAATGGAGTTTCATGCACTTGCCTGCTGCTTCTACGGCCCGGTTTCCAGTGGCCCGTGGCCTGGTATTGAGGCCGCAGATCGGGGTTTGGGGATTCCTGTTTTAGGTTTCCAAATTTTTAGGTTTACAAATTTAGTTCATTACCATCAATAGATTCAACCTGTGATCAGCAGTGACTAATAGATGTAGTAATATGAAAAATTACTGAAAATAATAAGAGTTTGGACATTCTACAAAGTTTTCAATGTATTACAATTGTGAAATTAAAGACTGCCTTTCTTTCTGAAACATGCTACTAAATTTTTAGCAATCTGAAGATAAAAAATTAATTTTAAACGAGCTATATCCACTAATATTCAACAAATAAATTGGTATCTTCAGTGGTTTATGGCATTCCTAAAAATGTGCATAGAAGCATAGTTTTGTATTTTCTGTTATGGATTGCACTAGAGAGGCTAAACCAAATTTTGTTGTATATATGATTTACAATCACAATAAAGGCTATACTATATACTATATAAACATTTTTATGCCGGACATTTAAGGCTGTGTGTGTATGTGTATTGAACTGCCCAATAAAAATTTTGCCCCTTTTATGTAATAGCTATTCTAAAAAAAGAAGAGGATAATACAATATATACCTGCTAAGATTCAGAAAAGAAAAGAAAAAAAAAAGAAAGAAAAGAAAGAACACATATGTTAATTTCAAGTTAACAAATGTTTTGGGTTACAGTCATGTTTTCATAAAACAGTCAGTGATTTACGATTTGGAATATTTTCACCAAAGCCCTCGAGGTTCTGAAAATAACACAGCTACATAAATTGACATGAGCAAGCTTTTTTAATAAATAAAATCCCATAGAAGCAGAATATATTTAAACTCAAACCAAAATTATGATTATAATTCACATGAGAAAATATTAGGACTTTATAAAAAGGGTTTTTCCCTGAAGTGGGTGAATGGTCTAATTAAGTACAGAGCCCATGGTGAAAATCTTTTTTCTTAGTTCAAACCCTGATTCATTGTAAAAATGTTATATATTCTTGTACCTCATTCATAATTTGGCTTACCACTTTTAAACAGATAAATGCCTAAATTGTTGAATATCATTTTGGCAAGAATGTTAAAAGCAATATGAAAAATGTAATATTATATCTAAAGTATAATATAAATTTTATTTATCACTTTATATTTTCATTTTTTCTCAAGCTATTAGCACCAGTTGAAATCAAAATCTGAAATAGGTAGATTTCCTTATTTTCAGTAAGGAAATTAAAAATGGCATTTTATTTGAGGCATATTGGATTGCTACTCTGACTTGATCTAGAATCTCTCATTAAATTTTTAAATATTGTGTTTCCCACTTGTAAATCATTCATAGAGAGCAGAAATGAGGAACAGCTGGAAATCAATGTCATCAAATCTCCTTTGCAGATATTCTAGAATCCTAGTTATTTACTATTATTTGCCAAGTATTGAACACACTTTTCAACATAGAATAAACCTCTTGCCAAACCAACTCATCAGAATGGAATCAGCATTAGCCTATTCTATCTAGCAACATGTCACAAAGTTGCAAGATTTAAGAACACAATTTATGTTCAAGCTTTGTACCTTGTTTAAATATACAATATATAAACCACGGGGAATCAGGGTGTAATGAATAACCCTCCTTTTCAATTTTGATAATAAATACAGTTCACATTTGAGTTGCTTTAGATATGCAGTCCTATTGGTTTGATTCAATGTACACTTGTCCACATCTCCTGGTATGGTTTTATTTATTGTGTTGGAAGTAAAGCAGAGGTTTAAATGTATACAACTCTTACGTTTGATCCCTAGCAGTACCATTCTAGGAGCAGCCAATGGAGAGCTGCTCCATTGGAAGGAACCACAATTGTGTTCAAGGCAGAGACTAGCAAATTCAACTCTCTTTAGAAGCATGGCTGCTGACAGGCTAACTCCCCATGACCTGTAATGATGCTTCCTTGTTGTTTCCATCTATTCTCCTTAGAGAATTTTTGAGAGAAGATTTGAAGATCCACAATGGATCAAAAACCTGATTGTTTATTCACAGTTTATAGTAAGGACAGGTAACTTACATCATTCAGAAGTTGCTAAGCTATCACTCCTAGGATCCCTCACCACTGGCCAGATGGGCTTGGGAAACTGGAAGCTCTAATTCAGCAATATCTGAACTACCACCCGTTATCTACCTCTGATTTAATTCACTCTCACTATGGAGAATTTCCCTGAGCCATAGTATTTAGATCATGGTGATCAGTACTTTGCCTGCATTGGTGTTATTTTCAGGCCATTTACACCATTCTAAATCTTCATCATTAGCAGCATATTTACTTAGGGCGAAAGAGGGGATAAAGATGCTTCCTACATTTCCATTTTGGCTCAGCCTCCCAAACTCCCAGGATATAGGACAGATGCACGATCTGTCTGAACAGTGATACCAATAGGCTTTCCAAAGTCACCAAGCATTTCCAGTTGAGAACAATTTCCTTTCTCAGTCAGAAGTTGGTAAATGCTATCTTGTTCCAACTTGCTGCCCTATAAATACTAATCCAAACAGCAGTCCCATAAAATCTGCCCTGTTGCTTTGCAATGTTTGGCTTGCTTGAGGCAATCACATGAGGGCTCTCACTGCCAGCTTTGCCAAGATCAAAAGAGCCTGCTTCTACCACCTTCACCACCACACACAGGGAGTGTTTTACATCTCAGGGCAAATCTGAGTTTCTGGTCCTGTGCCAAGCTACCGCTAGAGGCAGCAGAGAAAAAAAATAAAACTGCTATGCAGCTCACATTTGAAATCAGCGTACAATATAAATGTAAGTATATAAAAATGCATAAAACTAATTTTGCACTACCTATCCTGAGCACCTTGAAATGTACATTATTTAATATAAGTGTAAATCATAAATATTCATTCTTCTGGCAGTCTCTTTCAAACCCAGATACTGTAATGTTAGGAATGTTTAAAAAAAAAATCGCAACCTAATTATTTTTTTTAAAAAAATTGGAGCCTTTTGTGCCTTTCTGGAAAACTTATTTAAAAGTTAGATGTATATAATTTGAGTACTGTAGGATAATGCAGTGACCTGTATAATTGTTGTTGATTCACAATCACATCAAGATCCAGAAAACTTCCCTTGAGGGGGAAATTACTCTTCTTTGCAGTGAAGCTGAACTATATTCTTACTCTTGTTATTTTTAAATCAGATTGAAAAAGCAATGCTATTATATCAAATAAGTCAGGAAAAAAGAATCTGGTAAATACAGTCAACATTTTGATGATAAAGACATTTTAATATTAAAAGCAAATTGTAAATGTATCTTTATAAACAATATGCATAAAATAGATCTATAATAGTAAAGCTCTGTCTCTTTAAATGGTTTTTTTTTTCACAGTAATTTCTTAGGTATGTAATATTTTTCCTCTTAAAGAAATAGTGCAATTTGATGAACGTACTTATGTAAATGAATTAGAAATCTGATGACCCTTAATACAAATCCTTGTAAATTTCTTGTAGGAGTGGATGAAGGCTCATATCTGTCTCCGTTTTCTTTATAATTTGCAACAGCTGCACATGTTCTGTTACAATCTGTCTGAGGTCTGTCATTTTCTGCAACAATTTTGCAAACAGCTGTGATGATTCTGGGTGATTCAGCTTTAATTGAAGTTCTAGTGATTGCAGCAAACTATCTTGAATATCTTCAATAGGTTTCACATTCAGTAATCCAGGTCGATCTAGAAGCAAAAACAACAACAACAACATTTGTTTTAAAACATATATAGCTACATATCCATAGGTATAGCTGAATTATAAAGGTGTCCGCAGCAGTTCTAGCTTTGCGGAAACTACCTTTAAATGCCATCTGAACTGGAATTACCCATACGTTTTTGACTGCCACAAAAGCCTGCTTTTTAGGGTCAGAGATATTTTTTAGCCTCAGTTCAGAGTACTGATTTTTCCTTCACACACAATTTTACCTGTACCTCTCTTTTCATTTTTCTTGCCATTTGTTTATGATTTGTTTATGATTTTTATTTAACATGAAGTTGTTGACAACATTCAACTAGCTCTCCACCAAAACCACCACAATGTTTTATGAGATTTCTTGGGTTAATTGCTTGAGTTTTCCCTGCTGTATAGCCTTATATCCTAAAAAGACTAAAAAAAAAAAAAACTAAAATCCAACCACAGTTTAATTGAACTCCTGTGTTTATGTTGAACTTTTGGACAAATGGAGAAATTCTATAATTCTATAAGCAAAAGGGATGAAAATACAGCCAAATGTTGCTAATAATTGTGCACAATGTTCCTATTTTGACAACATCTGCAAGTGACCATTGCAGCCTCTCTTGCTAATATATAATCTCTTAAACTCGACAATGTGAAACCACAATAACCAGAATCCAGTGGCTTCATGCTGCAAGGCAAAAGTTAATAAGTAAAACAATTGCTAAGTCATTCAAGTAAGTGGACAAGCTGGGTGTCATCTTGTTGTAGATGAGGGCATTGGGTATAGGCTCAGATGTCTGGATAAGGTGTAATGTACTGTACAGCTTTCACTAATCTAATGCCCTCCAGCTGTGCTGTAAGAAACTTCCATTTGTCTTATTCAGAATGCTCATGGGGACAATGATAATGATGATGAAGTCACACAACACCAACAAAAAGAGGCTGATCTGTTGTTGTCTAGGATTTACAGCCTGAAGACAGGAGGGAACAGACATCCTCACATGACAAGAAAGTTCCTTCATCATCAAAGAATAAAGGGAAGAAGACTGAAATCAACAAATGATGACTTTAGGAGTTGTGCAAATCTTTTGATACCTAACAAATAACCCAATGTCATTTTCCAGATTTGGGTTATATCATGGTGGCCATTCCTGCAGCTTTTGTAGAACAATTCTTAAACATGAAAGGGTAACATCCTTGATCAATTAAGCCTGCTGCTCAAGCTTCACAGCCCAAACTGATTGCTATTAAGTTATTTAAGTAAAGCTGTTAATTACATTGCCAGGTTTAAGTTCTCAGTTTTGTCACTAGAATATGATTTTATTCAAGGTCATAGAAATCGTATGGTGTTAAGTGAAGGAAGTTAAAACAGTAACAGATGAAAACAAGAAACCAGCTCTGTGTCTGTTTAAAGAAGTTCAAGTAGGCTGAACTAGTTCTTGTAAGGATTTACAACCTGATTATATAAACCACAAAATGACTTATTTACCCTAGGTGTCAAAAAAAAAAAAAAGGCAGCATTTCATATAAACTGATATACTTGATAGTTCCTTCATAATTTGGGTTTTTACATTATAAAATACACTGACTAACTAGACCTAATATATAGGAAATGTTATACCCTCCCAAATATTTACATAACAAGAATATAGAACCATTTTCTCAAATGTTTTATTTTTTCTCAGAAATCACAAAGGCATAGCTACCATTGCCCAATCAATAAGTTAGTTACCCCCCCAAAATTTAGCATTCTACTTTAAATAAAATGAGGAAGGAATAACATAGAGCAGGGCTGTCAAACCTGCGGCCCACAGGCCAGATGCATCATGCCCTGGCCACGCCCACACCCAGTTAATGAAGGGGAAAAAAGTCACGATACATCATGTGATGCCGTGAGTTTGACACCCCCAACAGAGTATAAAAAAAGGACACAAGAAAAGCTGTGTCAAAAAGAAGTAGGCATACTGGGTTTACATTATTTTATGAGTTACATCCTATGATGCCTTTCTGCCAGCAAAAGAGATTCTGCAGTTAGAACAGACTTCTCCTCTTTCCTCCTTCTAGTTCCAAATTTGCTCAAGAAGCTTGGAAGAGCATAACATATTTATTTATTTATTTATTGCAGGAAAAGAAGGAGAAAAGAGAGACAAACTCTGCTCATGTAATATTGCACAAACAGAAGCTTACTCATGTGACACTCAAGGTCATTTATTCAAAACTTTTAGATCTGTCTGCTATGTATGGAGGATATGTGTGCATAAACATTTTAGAGATGTGGCAATTAATATTTTTTTAAATGTCTGGTTTGTGAGGGACTACATAGATTTTAACAACATTTTGATAATCTGCAAATGCTAAAACATCTGGGTATGACTCATTGTGCATAAACATAAAATTTAAGCAACCGTAAAGTCTGCAGCATCTTTTCCTACTGTTTTTGAAATCCTAGAAAATCCCTTGCTTACTTCACTAACAGTCAGTCTTTAATGTTGTTAACAATATAATACTATTCAACTTGTCTAAAAGTAACTTCTTTTTATCCCAAGGAAATATAAAAGCAGACTGAATTCTACAGGTTCTTTTTTCTACAATAAAAAAGGATTTTTTTTCCAGACATAGCAATAGCAATAGCACTTAGACTTATATACCACTTTACAGTGCTTTACAGCCCTCTCTAAGCGGTTTACAGAGTCAGCATATTACTCCCAACAATTTGGGTCCTCATTTTACCCACCTTGGAAGGATGGAAGGCTGAGTCAACCTTAAGCCTGGTGTGATTTGAACTGCTAAATTGCAGGCAGCCGGCAGTGAGCAGAAGTAGCCTGCAGTACTGCACTCTAACCACTGCGCCACAGCATAATTTTTGTTTCCTGGGCTTATCAAGGGATCCAGATGTCCTCTTTGATCAGAAGCCCTTACCTATTTTCTCACCATTTTTCTTGTTTATCATTGAGAAAAACCCAAGAAAAGGAAGAAAACCTACATAATGCTTTCTCCAAGAGTCTTCCCTCTTAAAGTACTCCAAATCAAGGCCAAGCTTAGGATACTGAAGCATTTTTTTTTAAAAATATGAAAGCCTAGTTGGAATTTGAATAGTTCGACACTTCAATGCATTTAAAGATAAATTCCAGGTAGACTTTAGGATGAAGTTCTAACATAGGTGGCACACATGCCTGTGTCCCCAAATAGTAATAGGAAACATTAAACAGAAGTGATAAAAATGAAGTTCTATTGTTCCTTTAGTTTAAAATTAAACTGTAGTTTATTTAACTAGAAATAAACATTAGAAATACTGCTATTCTAATATCAATAAAAGTTATTTTTGAAAGACTGATAAATACGTAAAATGTAAAGCTGAAACAATGTTCCCAAAGTAGATGACCATATTTAGAGATAGGCTTTTATCCAGTGTGGAAGTCTCTTTTATTCTTTAACATTCTCAAAGAGAACCATACTTTCTGTTAATCATTCACTTACAAAATGTTCATAACAATTATTTTATGTTCTATGTACACTTGCAAAATTCCTATGTATTCTTATCTCTTAAGAGCAATTGCTACTGAAGCTCATTTAGAACAAGAATAGGCATTTGGCTGGGAACTCTTATCATAATGTCAGTGTGACTCAGCAGTTGCGTGCCTGATTTTAATGAGTACAGAACAAATCAGGTTTTAAATCCAAAGAAACTAGCACTGGCTGCACATATCTTATAAGTTATATAAAAAAAATTCTTAATAGGTGGAATATCCCTCAAAACTGTTAATTGGCTTGTCCTTTTAAATGAGAGTTTGTCTTTTTCAATCTGTAAACAGCAATTCCTATACTGATAAAATAGTTCAGGGCCCTGGAAAAAAAAGTATTTTCAACTAGATTGGATCCAACAGAAGTATTTAGCAGATGGCTTTTTTCTACAAGAGCCTATTAATCTAGTGTGGGAATCCTCCAGTGGAAAGGGGGAAGCAATCTCTTCTGATCCCCTTTCCTTCTGTAAACTATTCCACTTTTCCTTGAAATTCCTAGAGCAACAGGGAAATGAAACTGGAAAGGATTATCTCATTCCTCTTGTCTCACAGACAAGGCAGAATTCTGGTAGCAGAATGAAAACTATGAAGAAAGCTACAACTTAAAAGCTTGTCTTAAAATGACGACATAAAGCTTCGAGATCATTTATTCCTAAACTGTACATTTTTCAATGGTTTCAATTATTCAAACCACAGTGCAATTATTACTTGAAAACTTTAATCTGTACAACTTCAGGCACAATTATTGGGAATATGTAATACCCTGAATGTACTTTCCGTTGGATTGGACCTGAAGAAGATTTAAAAGACTGGGAAGACAGCATATTGTCCATTTTGTGGGAGCATTGTTTTGGGGCATTCTATAGGCAAATACATATTAAATCCTTTTGAAAATTTAATATACAATTGATCTGTTTATAAATTTGTCTCCAAGTTCACTGAAGATGCTATTTTAAATATTAAATATTTATACAAAAACATGAAGAAACAAAATAGGAAGAGTATTGATGCTTTTGGTGTTGACCCCAGTTTGGTCCAGTGGTTAAGGCACCTGGCTAGAAAGCAGGAGAATGTGAATTCTAGTTCCACTTCAGGCATGAAAGGCAGCTGGGTGACATTGGGCCAGTTACTCTCTCAGCCCAACCCACTTCACAGGTTTGTTATTGTGAGAAAATAAGAGGAAGAAAGAGAATTAGGTGCATTCACCATCTTGAGTTATTTATAAAAATAATATGTGTCAGATAAAAAAATCCAAAATCTAAAAAAAACCTCCTGAGAATACTGTGGACATCCAAGAAAATAAACCACATGGATCACTGAACAAATCAACCTAGAGTTCCCAATCAAGACACAAATGACTAAGCTCAAATTACTCTAATTTGGAGAGATGCAAAGACCTAGCTCTCTGAGGACAGCTTTAATATTGGGAAAGGGAGAAGGAAAGAGAAGAGGATGATGAGTAGCAAAGTGGAGAGATTCAGTTACAGAGGTGATAGGGGTGTTGGTGGAAGAGCTAAGATTTGACATCAACTTGATGGCATGAAACCAATCAATCAATCAAAAAAGAGTACAAATATTTCAGGGGAAAATCTTCTCATGCAAGAATCTTACAGGCACTAAATGAGGCTTTGCTAGAAATGTCTACTAGCTGGTTCAGTCCAGTTTGCAAAAACCAGTTGGTAAATTTTACCACAAGTTACAGCTGCACTAAAACCTCACAGGGATCAATAAAAGCTTCGCTTATCTCCAACAAGGATTGGACTATGCACATCCAGGCTAAGTTAGAATCCTAGCAGATTCTACTCTAGAGTTTCCAGGCAGACAGAAGAATGGGAAAGGATATGAATTTATACCTTAACTCTAATTGCATTGAAAATATAAAGCAACTAATGAAAAATTTCCACTGATTCCTCTTCAGCAGAACTCAATGTATACAATATTGCCTTATGGATTTGAATTTTCTCTTATTTTTAAATTGTAAACACACCCACTCACACTCCATCACACACACAGTCAATTTTTGGACACAACATTGTACTATATCAATCAAGTTCAACCAGAAGTGTTTTGCTATCATGTTCAGAAATGCAGCTATTGCCTCTTAACTAGGGTAACCTTTAAAACTGTTTTAATTATCTATCTACCTATTAGCAATATTAAAAAAAGGATGAGTTGCAGTTAGATAACAGTAACAATTGTCTTTTGTTACAATAAGGATAAAGGTTCTTAATTTATATTTCCTAATATTTCTGATTGATTATCCTATTAATTACATTTGGTAATTGCTATTGATTTGCTTTTAATAACAGAATAATCTTTAATGTTACTTTGAAAATTCTTATTCAATTTTTTATAGCCTAGAAATCTTTATATCCTTGTTCCCCTCCCTTGCTTGCATTTCTAAATATCTGTTAAAATAAAATTTAAAAAGGTTAAAAAGTATTCATATTTGAAACATCCATTCTTGAGATGCATTCTTTTTGCCTTATGTGTTCAGTGTTTTGAGGAAAGCAAGCAGGAAGACTATTTTCTAACCTTTATTATCAAAAAGTACCATCCAATTCAAAGGAATTTCTTGAGATGGAAGGTGGTTTTTTTTCCCTGACAATCTTGCATTCCAAGACACTGTGCTTCTCAAAGCGTTCAATTTAACTTTTGTTGAATTATATTATTTAGATTAATTCTTGAATTTGTCATATCAATGTGAAGGAAAAGAGAAATGATGTTAGTGATTCATTCCACTGCAAAGTCTCAGAATTCCTGTCTTATTGCAGCTGTGACTAATTGTAACTCATTTTTTAAAACCTCTCTTGAAATAATACAGCTAAATTTTATCCTTTCCAATCTAATGGCATGTTGGAAAGGAAATATTTAAGAGGGCTTAGGACTTTGTCTATCGATACTGTAATACTCTGAAAACAGAATGGAACTGAATTCGGTGTGCTGGAAGCAGCTCTCAAAAGAAAAATCAACTTTGATTTTTGCCTTTATTCAGAGCCACTCAGTCACTCATTCCAAAATCTTTCTCAAGAATTCTTACAGTATATATTCTTGCTAAATGAGCTTTTAGTTTAACTAACAACATGCCTTAATGCTGCAGTTCCAAGTGAAAAGTACCAAATAATAATTAAGCTCATTTAATCCTGACACTTGTTGAATCATGCAATCCTCAAAGGTGGTTGAGAGAAAGAAGCAATCAGAGAGGTGAAATTATGTAAGGGTGGTGGCATCTGGTTCTGTATAAGGAAAACAGAGCACCGCATATGGTGATAAGCAGCAGCAGCAACCCAACTCAGTAGGGTCACCCTGGAGATGCAAAGAGTCACAAAGAAACAGATAAGTTCACTTGACATTTTTTTGTTTACACGTGGTGCCATGTTCAGTCTCAAGATTTCTGCTGCAGACTCTGACAAATAGCTATTAATCAAAACCAATAACATTGGGTTTCATAGTTTGTCCTGGTATACCAGTGGTGGGATTTAAAATTTTTTACTGCCAGTTCTGTGGGTGTGGCTTGGTGGGCGTGGCAGGGGAAGGTTACTGCAAAATCCCCATTTCCTCCCAATCAGCTGGGACTTGGGATGCAGAGAATAGATGGGGGCGGGGCTGGTCAGTGGTGGTATTTACTGGTTCTCCGAACTACTCAAAATTTCCTCTACCAGTTCTCCAGAACTGGTCGGAACCTGCTGAATACCATCTCTGTGGTATATGCTTTCCAGGCCTTAGTTTTGTGACTGAACTGCCAGGGCTGTCCAGAGACAGCAGTCTGAAGGGAATCAGGAGACAAGGGACAAAACCACTTTGCCGGAACCAAAGAACAAGAACTGAAGGACAAACCAGAACTGAGATACAAGCAGAGGTTCAGATTGAAGGACAATTAATATGTACAGAAAGAAACCAGGGCTCCAAAAGATCAGATTGGTCAAGCAAGGACTAATTAACACAATGATTTTTGCATCTTTCTTCCCAAGGGGATCCAATAACCAGCACAAGTAGAGTCAGTCCAGCTGGCTAATATGTAGTCACTGGATGTGGAGCAGTGGAGAGCCAAAAATTGAGCCCTTTAGAACTCCTAGGACTCCTGATGTATACTTTCTGATAGAGGTGAAATCCAGCAGGTTCCAACAGGTTCTGGAGAACTGGTAGCAGAAATTTGAGCAGTTTGGAGAACCGGTAGCGGAAATTTTGAGTATTTTGGAGAACCGGCAAATACCACCTCTCGCTGGCCCCAAAATGGAATGGGAATGGAGATTTTGCAGTATCCTTCCCCTGGAGTGGGGTAGGAATGGAGAATTTGCAGTATCCTTCCCCTGCCATGCCCACCACGCCACATCATGCCCACCACACCACACCCACAGAACCGGTAGTAAAATAATTTGCATTTCACCACTGCTTTCTGTAGGATACTTAAAACTCTTTTGGGATAATTAAACTCTTAATTAAACTCTTTCATGAAGGGCAATTGTTCATTTCATTCATCTTCCAAACTGCATATAGTAGAATGAGAAAAATTGCCTCAAGAATCTTTGTTCTAAAAGGATCATTGCACATATGTAAATTAGCTTTTTGGAGACAAGAGCCTATCCATAATACAGTAGTATAGTTTTCAAATCAGGACCGCCCAATTTATGATTCAACTGAAAGCAGTTAAAGAAGCATTAATAACTACGCCAGGGATTTAGTCTCTATTTTAATGTTCTGAGTGGGAAGTGAAGACCAAAGTACAAGGCTGGTGTGCTAAATATGGGGTGTTGGGGGGGGGGCTCAGAAGTCATGCACCTTTGCAAATCAAGGAAAACTATGAAACTTTCTCACACTTACCTCCACTGAGAATAATGACAGCTATAAATATTGCCAAGTCACTGTCGTCTAATTCCAGTGCATTGAATTTGACAGCAAACTCAAATTTTGGCTCCATAAAGTCACAGAAAGGTTTCCGCAGGCTCTTTAGGAACTCCCGAGTCATGAATCCTTGTCCATTGGATATGAGAACACCATCTTTATTCATCATGGAGGCTAGGAGCGTATAGATGATCTCATGCACTCCATATTTCAGGAGAGTTACTTGGTCATTGAGGTCTAAACTCACAAAACCTGGAATGCTTTTGGCAAATTCAGTGATTTCCTGAACAGCTTCCACTGAGCGAAACTGGCAACGCTGGAAGATGCGTATGGCCACTTCTTTATTTTGCTCTTGCATGGGGCTCAAATGTTTACACTTGATCTGGTCTTCTCCCATCATTAAGGAATGCATGTCATAAATGACAAATGGCTAAAAAAAGAGAGACAGAGATACAGTTGATGATCAGGATTTTTGCAACACAAAACACAATGACTATCTGAAAAACAGGTTGGAGAAGATAGTGTATGAATGTGAAGAACTCAGCTACAATAGATCTCTCGGTTTTCAAGGACATATTTTGAAGAAAAACCATTTTGTTTTGGTAAATAAAGCCCTATGTTTTCCCCTCGAGGTAAATTGCTAAGAAGCAGCAATCATTTAAAGCCAATAGCATATCTGCTTTATCATTTTGAAAACTTGTTACACCGACATAATACTGGCAATTAGGCTCCTATATTTTATCACTAAGGCTAATCTGTTTTTTTTACGGCTTTCTTAATTTCCTTGCCATAGATTTGTAATGGGCAATAAAACCCATGTAAAATGTATAGCATGAAATTGGCATATTTTAAGCTGATTTTCCCCCAACCCACCCACAATCATACACATGTTGACTGAATGTTCTTAACGCCAGGGGTGCAATGTAATATCCTCCTCCTCAAAGACAGAGCAGAGAAGCTGAGATAGAAAACCTTACTTGTACCTTATTTCTAAAACTCATCAAACAACATGGAAGATATGCCATTACTCCCATAGAAGTAGAAGACAGTAGCACTGTGTAGCAAATCCATTTACTGTATTTTATTGAATTCATCCCTATATCAATAATACTTATGATTTGTCATTGATTCTTTAAAACAAAAACAAGGTAAACAATTGTGATTGAATTACCAGGAGATAGATAGCCAGATGACAGATAGCTAGATAGAGAGAAAAAGATAGAGAGAGAAAGAGAGGGACAGACAGACAGATCTAGAAGGCTGTTTCACAACACTATTGTGACCATTTCATAAAGGGTATGCTTACTCAGAATGTATTTTAAAGTCATCACAATGAACCATGCAGCTAATTGGATGAAAAGTAGAAGGTGCTGGGGCATTATTTGCTTCAACTGGACTTTGAAGAACTGTTTTTTTTAAATTAAAGGAATATCAGACATGGAAAATGATACATAGGATGAAAGGTGGAAGATCTGATTTCTGCTTTTCTTCCTTACCCATTGAAACCCCTTAAAAATGGAAAGATTGGAGAACTTCCCAAAAGAGTATGGATCTGTTGCTACAGAGGATAAGAGTATTGTCAAAATTCAAATCTGTGCCTATACAAGGATTAGAATAAAGGCACCAGATGATACTGCAACATGCACTATCCAAAGGTTTTTTTTCCCTTTCTTATCCAGAGTTGTTAAGTCTGAGGTATTATCTGGCCAGGGTCTTTTTGTTTGAATTCTAAAGTCCCAGAGCACTTCAGTTTTTTCATTTTCTATTATTTTCATTTTCTATTTATTTCATTTTCTATTATTTCCCACCAGTTCTTGCTGGCAGGCAAATGCTGTATCTTGCAGATATTCCAATGCACCATTATTGCTACTTTGTCCTGCCATTGTTTAGAGTCAGTCTGTTCTTTAGCGGCTAAGTTTTTCTTCAATTTCTTTTCAGAGGCTTGCTTTACTATCTGTTGATGTCCTCTCAATTTTGGCCTGGTATGCATTTGTTCTTAAGGCTTCATCTTATGCAGCCAGAATGTGCCCCTCTGTCTTCAATTTTCCTGCTCTTAGGCATTGCCAAGTGTTCTTGTTATCTGCTTTGCCTGCTATTTTTTAATGTGTTGGCCATGTAATATCACTTTGCCTTGTCATGTCTCTTTTCTATCTTTCATTTGGTCTTTCTTGAAGGCCAGTTTGGTCTATACAGTACTCAGTGAGCCTTCATAATGTACTAGTTTCAGTGTATCTTCTTCACTGCCCTTCAGATATTCTTTCAATGTCCTTTTTTCTTCTTCAACTGACTGGTGTACTTGCAACATTCCACACCCACCTATTTTCCTTGGTAAGTAGAGTCTGTCAACATTACTGCACTGATAAAGGACATGATTCAATGTCATTATGTTTCTAGTCTTCCTATCCCGGGCTTTTAGTTCAGTTTTAGTCCAATTGACTATTCCAGCTGTGTATCTAATGACTGGAATTGCCCAGGTATTAATTGCCTTAATGGTATTTCTACAAGTGAGTTTGAACTCTAGGATCTTGTTCATTCTTCTGATGTTCTACTATTAATCTTCTTCTTGACTTCAGTGTGCTTGAGCCTGAAGTATGCTCACGTATTTCTAGTGATCTTCTTCATCTAGACCAGGGGTGTCAAACTCCATTTCATTGAGGGCCGCATCATGGTTGTGTTTGACCTTGGGGGGCCAGTGTGGGTGTGGCCAGTGTGGGCATGGCCAGCTCAATGTCACTCGTGTTGGAAGCACCTGTGGTGGCCCGAATGCTCTGCCAGTGAAAATGGGCTCCCGAGCTCAATTTTTGGCTGTGACGGCCTTCTGCAACCCTCTGCCAGAGAAAACGGAGCTCAGGAGGACTGACTGCGGCCCTCCCTAGTTCCGTTTTCACTGGCAGAGGCACTACGGGCCAGTCCTTCACTGATTGCAGGGCAGCCCTGTGGGCCAGATCTAGGCACCCCATGGGCTAGATCCAGCCCCCGGGCCTTGAATTTGACATCCCTGATCTAGACTCTTGATGTTATTTCTGTAGGGCATCCTATAGCTTTCACTATTTTTCTCTACTGATGGTGTGGGTGGAACATTTGTCCAGTGCAACTTCCATTGCAATACTTTGGACAGTGTTGAGCAGCATTTCTATTTCAGATGGTGTATTTCCATACAGCTTCCATACATATCATCCATGTAAAAGATGTGAGATTGTCTGGCAGATGTTTGATAATCATGGGGCAACTTTTTCAAAATTATTGATAGAGGAATCAGTGCAATGGCAAACAGTAGTGATGACAGTGAATTGCCTTGTAAAATTCCTCTTTTGATATTAACCTCTCCCAGTTTATCACAATTGAACAGCAATATTGTTTTTCATTGTGCCATTGATCTTTGCACAAAGCTTGAGATGTTTCTACTGACTCATGTTATTTCTAGACATTTGATTATCCAAATATGTGGCAGGGAATCAAATGCCTTTTTGTAGTCAATCCACACTAGATTCAGGTTGGTCTTCCTTCCCTTGCAGTTTTCCAAAATCATCTGGTCAGTTAGGAGTCAATCTTATGTTTCTCCACTGTTTGGGAGGTTTCCTTTCTGCTCAAGTGGAAAGAGCTTGCTTTCAATTAAATGCTGTTGGACTGCATTAGCTACCATTCTAGTTAGCAATCTGCAAGTTGTTGGTAAGCAGGTAATTGGCTTATTGTGGTCTGGTGCTGCCCCTTTTGCTGGATCCTTCCTTATCAGGTAGGTTTGCCAGATGTTAGCTGCTTTTCAATTTCACCTCCTTGCAGTATGTTGTTAAACTGCTTGGCATCAAGTGGGTGTAGACTAGGCAGATGTTTCAACCAAAAACCATGCAGTTCATTTTCACCTAGTACTGACCAATTCTTGATATTTCTTGCTGTTTTCTCTACCATTTCTGCTGTTATTACTAATTCTTTCATTTCAACTGTTTTTTATTCTTATCTACCTCCTTTAACCAAGCTGAGTCCTTGTTGTATTTCTTGGGTTATCCCATATCTATGCCCAGAACTACACTGTTTCTTCCTCATCAAGTACTATCTGAATAACTCCAGTCTCCATTGATGGATTGGTAGAAATGTTTATGATTGGACTGAAATGGGAAGTTCTGACTGTAATTTGCAATTCAAGCTTTGTGTCTGCTGATCTTCTTGGCTATAGGTGTTATTTGTTGCTTTATTATTTCTAGTGCTTCCTTGATCTTTGTTTGTACATGATATTTCTTAGAAAATTGCAGAAAATATTAATTAGTGGAAGCTAGAGAACCTGAAATGGGTTTCCTTGTCACTTAATAAAGTATTTTACAAAGGCCAGTGAGCACTGTATGTCTCAGAACAACTGTCTACATAATTATTTTAAACTGTACAATCTATTTACCAGTCATTTACATATGAAGACGTGCTACCCACCATTCTGAGAAGAAACATAGTTGAGAATTGTATCCACAATAAACATATTAATGTTTGGGAACCCAAAGTCCATTACAGAAGGCATAATAAAATTGTTTTACACATTATTTACTGAATGAGCACATTTATTCTCATTCTTTTTAAAGGTAAGGCCAAGAAATTATTGGCCTTTTATATGGGATTTTCGTTTCTAGTTTTTATTCCAGTAACACTATCCTGATAGTTGGAATTTAATCATGGATAGGTGAATACTGTCACACACAAAAGTTCCAGTTTAGATGTAATTCTTAGCAAATCAGACTCATAATGTGAAAGCCCAATTTCAAAGAGGTTCCAGTCTCAGTTTTTCTTCATTCAGGGAGTATGTAGAAAACTGCTGCCTATTATAATATTTACCTTGAACTCACACATTTTAAAATATTATTTAAAACTTATCAAAATGGGATCGTTTGTATGCAACCATAAAAATATATCTGATTTTATGCAGGATTACTGATGGAAAGGCAATCAGTAAACAACATTCTATTTTTGAAGGGCCCTCTTTCATCCTTGCTCCTCCCATTTCATTCGTTCTCCATACAGCAGTTCCATAATCCAATGTTTGACACAGCAATTACAGAGCAGAACTCAATAAAGGGTATTGCATATCAGTAGACTTGGTTCTGTTTGAAGGAGGGCTTTCCAAGTGTGTGTGTGGATGAGGAGAGAGAGAAAGAATGTTTACATATGTGTGCAGATTGCTTTTACTCTGTGGTTTTTTTAAAAAGTCTCCAGATTCCATCCCTTAAATGTTTCCATTAGATACCAAGGACATGTGACTTTTCCTCAGCAGCTCCTGCCCTGTTGAACACCCTTCCCTCTGGGAACCAGTAGACCCCTACACACTTCTAGCCTTGCAGAAAGATGTAAAGGGATGGGTTTCCCCTGGGTGCCATGATTGGAGCTCAAGGTATGCATAGAGTGATGGATTGGAGATGGTAGGCCAGGTACCTGATATACTTGTTTTTTTATTGTTTGTGGTTTTATTATTGTTGTGAGCTACCCAGAGTTGTATTTTACAAGGTGGTCATATAGGGATAAAGCACAATAAAATAAGCCTTGTTTCATTGTCCACAGTTGTTAGGCTGGAATGGAACCTCTGCAAATAACAGGGGCCACATCTACACATAGCCCGCCATGTATGAAGACAGCATACCTATAAATCACACTATTTGGAAGTAGCATTCCCTCCTTTTCTCAATATATCAGCTGTGGGTAGTGTGAACATGTTCATATCTCACAAAATAGTATATGGTATTTGGTTATATACAGCCAAATGCTGAACATCTTGTGAGAATTGCCCAGTATTTTATTTCAAAGGGGCATTTGCAAAGTGGCCACTCTTTTGTATTTTCTGGATATAATTGTGTCTCCTCCTTCAGAAAAACAAACTAAGATTTCTTTAAATGCATTTCTTTCAAAGATTTCTTTCAATGGAGAGCAGCAGCAACTCCATAAATTTTATGGAGTGTCTGGAGAAGCCAATCCGATTAAATATCAACTTAACTCTTGTTCCAGAGGAAATGCTCCAAAGACAATTTGGCAGTACTACCTTAGGAGTTGCAGAGCAGGCAATGGCTTACTGGCAAAAACTCCTGCCTTGTTCTGTTTTCTGAAACTTCCCCCTTCACCTAGGTGTTAAGGCCTCCTTGTCCTTCCTGCTAACCCCTATCTTCTACCATCAACCAGCTCAAGAAGGAGAGGAGAGGCACCGGTGAGATGCTCTAAAAAAGCAGCCTATGACTGACAGGAAGATGCAGAGCTGGTGGCCTTCTGACATACTGAGGCTGAAGGATTATATAAATGAACTAGTATCTGTATCATAAGTCAGAAAACATACCATTAGAAACAAGAGGACATATGCAAGGTCATTATCTAGCATCAAGGAAGTACAAGAGTTCTTTCTGACCAAGGAAATTTTATTCAAATGAGAACAAAAATAAGCTTGCTCAAATAAACTATGCAAGCCAGCAATAAAGGATGTAAACAAGGATTTTCACGAGCATAGAGCTAGTAAAGTTACAACGAATTGTTAAACAGCTAGAGTATAAGGAAGTAAAGTAAACACTGGAAGGAAGAACTGAACACTAGACATTTGCTGACAACTGAAAATAAAAAGATCAGTGGGACTAGATAGATTAGTTTAAAAAAAAAAGGAGGGGAAATTTGCTGTTCTTCTAACACAGAGTTTCACAATCTTAAGATGTATAAATTTTTATTATCACAATTCTCCAACAAGCATGCTGGCTGGGGAATTCTGGGAGTTGAATCCACATATCTATTGTCACGGTTGAGAAACCTTAGCAAAAGGATGTGGCTTGTCCTTGAATTAGCCTTTCTACCAGGGAACTAAAAATGTCCAGTCTAATGCCAAAAAGGGATTGAACTGTAGCCCAACATAGATGCTTTAAGACATACAATAGCTCCATTGGATAATGTAGGTGATTACCAATGGAAAAAGGAGCGACTATACAGGAAGGCAAGTTGTGTTGACCTTCACATACTTGTAAGGGATTCAAATATTTTATTAGATTTTTTCCAAATAATGTTTACTTATCCCATCTAAACCATTTCCTGTGTTTCGGCTTTGGTTTGAAATACATTAAGTACCAAACACATTTTTTAAAAAACACATACACGCACAATATAGTCCATTAGAATGGTAGACCTTTTGCCCAAAGAAGAAAAGAACAACTGGATGGAACTTACTGATTGGTCTGTTGTCTTTCCTGTCAAGATTGCCCTCGCCTTGGCTTTGGTCAGGGGGAAAGACTTTATGTAGGAATCATAGAGCAGCTTGGCCAGGGCTCGCAGATCAGCAGACTCAGGGTTCAGCTGGTCGATGTCACTTGAAATCTCTGCCAAGAGTTTCTCCTTCTCAGCTTGTGGCATTCGCCCAAACCTAATAGCTGAAAGGAAAACGGCAACAGTAATAAACTGCACCTAACTGATCTCCATTCTGTTGTAGTTGCATTTTCCCTCCACCACCTTTTACAACTTTACAGGATGTAAATATAATGTTTCTTCTCGGTGGAAAAGCAGTGCATGTGTTTGCTCAGCTCTGTGTCACCATCACTAGTGACCAATCGTTGTTAAATCACCTCCTTTCTTCTCTTTGAGAAAAATGGCTTCCCACACATCTAAGTACAATCTTCATTTGAATAAAGATAGCAGCTACCTAGACTGATCTTCTTCTACTGGGGGAATAGCTTTAGACATGTTCAGAATGTTGGTTAGTGTGGGCTAAAAATCCTAAAATGTATCTATTTAACTATAAGGCTATTTTTCTTTTCTATGCTGAATGCATAAATAATTTAAAGGGACAAAAAGTTCACTCTGGTAGAATTTCACTAATGTCAAAGGAACTTTTCTAAGTAAACATATTGACATGTAAATTATCTTAAAAATTATCTGTATGTGTGTTTGTCTTCATATGACTGTTTTGTCTATCTCTGGGTAATACGCTGAAATCAGTTTTTCTGTATAGAACTGAAAGTATTCTATCATAGAAAAGATAAAATTCTTCAGTTTCAGCAGAATATTTTACTACATTCCTTTATTAGCTGATTATTAAAAGCATGAAAGAAAGTTTGAAATTGCCAAAGTACCAAATAAGTGTTCTAAATTGTATGTTTTAGGAATTCGTGATTTTATGTGGTATAGTGATTATAGTACTGGTGATTACTACCAGTGATTACTGGTCCAGAAATCAGCAGATGATGAGTTCTATGACTTCCTTGGGCGTGAAAACCGGCTAGGTTTGGGCCAGTCTCTCTCAACTCAACCCAATTCCTTGTGGCAAACATAAGGAGGCAGGAGAATTACGTATGCTTGCTGCCTTAATAAAACAGCAGGACAAAACTACAGATATAATATTAATTAAAAAAAGATATAAGAAGGCAGGTTAAAAATCTAACAGGTTCTTAAAAGAAGGCATGAATCAAAGCTTCCATGGTGATATTTTGTGTAGAAAATTCACATAGATAAATGGTCCTTTACTTAGGATTGTTCATTTAATGATGATCCAAAGTTACATCAGTTTTGGAAAAATCAACTTAAGACCTGAGTTTACGACTATTATACTACTCCCACCCACCACCCACCCACCCCGTGGTGATGTGACTGCAATTCTGGCACTTGACACTTGCATTTATAGCTGGTTATAGTGTACTGCCATCACACACTTGTGATTTGTGGTCTTTTTTTTCCTGATATCAGGCAAAAAAAAAGAAAAGAAAAGGCCATTGGGGAATCTGGATTCGCTTAACAACCGCATAATTTTCCACTGTGATTTGCCTAATGCCCACCATAAAAATTGTAAAATTGTGTCTGACTCAACTTACAACCAAATGACTTATCACAGAAATTTCAGTCCCAATTGTGATCATAAGGTGAGAACTACCAGTACATTTTGTAATGAAAATAATTCTACAATATCCCTGTATTTAGAAACTAGAGCAAAGGGTCCAAATTGCTCATGTTTAAAAATGCATATAGTAGAATGGAGACAAATCCGACTGAAAGATGTTGGTAGCAATATATGAATTAGAATGAAATGGATTATTCTTTGCAAGATCAAAGAGTCTCTGTTTCCTATGGAGGGAGAAAATGTTATTTATAATCCTCATTTGTACAGCATGTCTCCGTGGATGCCAAGCTTTATAGCCCTTAACATGCTACATGGCCATATTTACCTACAATAAAATCAAGCAAAGCACACAGTACCTTTAACAATCTGAGAATTTCTAGATTAGTGCTATAAACCATAAATTTTGGAGGTCGACAAAAGCTGTACCTCCAAAACATGTGATTTTCTTCTGCATTTGTAGATAGGAAGTATATACGTTGGAAAAGGAATTGCCTAAAGTAACTGACGGAACTGATGCAACAATTCAAACTCTAGATTTTTTACTTTCAACATGTAACATAAGGTTGTTGTGTAGGACCAGTTTAAGGAGTTTGGTGATCCAATGCAATACTAGATTTGGAATTCACTCACAGCCCTAGATTAATATTACAGATGGATTCTTGCTAAATGAGATAAAAATTATGCATTCAAAATAGAATATCCCCAGTGCCTGAACTAAATATATATCTGGAAGAAATGTACTGGATGTAAAAAATCATCAATGATTAAAATCCGGTTTAGCAGAATGGCTTTATTGGCCAATATGACCTTTGGCGAATAAAAAGCTTCATTCACTAATGGGTAGATCATCTTCCTCAAACATCCTGTCAACCCTTTCTATTCAGTGGCTAAGTAGGCCTATGGGTATCATTCCCCTCTTCCAAAATTCCAACCATCTGAGGAGAACACAAGACTCGAACAATAGAGGAAAGTCTTGAAATAGTTGAATTATGGGTTATTTGCTTTTGCACCTTTGCTCACCCATACTATAGTCTATTTCAACCTGCCATTTTGCCCTACTTTGCAAAGGTCCAAAACAGGTACAATCCCTTAAGCAAATGCTGTTGTATGGATGATCTGTACACATCTGCCTACCTGCATAAATAACAGCAGATTGGACCTGATGTCATTGAAAATAGCAATAACAATAACTTATAGACCGCTTCATAGTGTTTTACAGTCCTTTCTAAGTGGTTTACATGGTCTATATTTTCTCTAAAATGAATGTAAAAAAATCTTTATTTTTCTCAGTAAGCAGTAGTCTCAGTTTTATGCAATTTCAGAAGGGCCTTGAATTGTTTTACTGGGAGGTAGTCTGATTTTTAAGCTCTGATATTTATCTTTTGCTAAATAAATCTGTTTGTGAGAACTATTTCTCACATTGATAAAAGCGCTGAGAGTTATCAACACAGGAAATGCCTACTGTCCCATCTTCACAAGATAGACTTATTTCTTTTCTACATCAACAAAACAGGAGGAAACAGCCAAGACTCTTGCTGCTGAATTGCTAATGTATACTATAGGCATCTTATCCAAAGTAGGGCACTTGCTTGAATTCTTGTGTTATAACTTTTTAACAAATTCTAATTTATAACTACTATTAATTATTGCTCTTGGATTCTTGTTCCTTGAATTAACTCTTTCCTGTCAAGGGTGCAAAGAGGAAAGTTTGACAGTGTTTTTTATTAGTCTTTTTCAATTTGACTCAAACTGCCTTTAGCCATCTTGGTTAGAAACTAATTGGAAATCAATCCAATATTTCTGGGGAAAACAAGGCTACTGAAGGCTACACTAACTTAATTCATAGAATTATTGAGGATGGATTAGTCATGATGTGGAATCTGATACCTCAAGAAGCTCAGGTCACTAGATTCAGTTGTATATGAGAGTCCCGTGTCCTTCTATTCTGTCTTGTGAAATCCCATACATTTCACTGTTCTTCCATAATAGATAATATATACTGTTCAGAATGAGCTTAACTAGGAAAGTGTGTGCGTCCATATGAGGTTCTATAAAAATATTTTCACAGCAATATTTTTGCCTTTAAAATAACATCAGATTTTAGAAAATACTTCTCATAACAATTTATTTGTTGGTAATAAAAAACAAGTTAAGAGTTTCTTCTGGCGTCAGGAAACTACATTTTATACTGAGAAAATAAAAACCACAGAGAAGATATTTTCCCAGTAATGTTTGCAATTCTTTAGTTTTTTAATTACATAAGGCTCTGTTATGACATTCTATTCCTGTTTTCGTTTGGCTTTGCCAGGAGAGAGAAAACAATCTTCACTAGAATTCATTCTCTCAAGAATTATAACATTAAATATTTTCTCATAAATTTATAGAATGAACTTAAATGGTCTTTAAATTGTCCCATATCATACATTCATCTCCTAAATCTATCAAGCTCATTCTACAAGCTGTGTTAGGGCCAAACGATATGTTGTACTCAAATATATTCTTTTAAAAGTCAATGGGGACTCACTCCTTTAAGGAAATAGAAGAATAAATGTGCAGCCTAGAAAAACCAGGCAAGATTTTATAACTGAGGAAGATTGACCACTGTATATGTCAAAAACATGAACAAGAAGGAAGTAGAAATAGGTTTTTTTTACTGACTTTTTTGCTCATTAAAATTGCAAGTATACAAGTTGACTTTGGGGAACATAAAATGTAATCTGGGGAAAAAAAGGAACCATACCTCTTCAGTCTTTTGTGGCAATTTACAACCATACTATTCCCCCCCCCCCATTTTTTTCTGTTCTGTTTTGTTGGCATCCCCTTCTCTCCATACTGACTGGAATCATTTAATGAGCGTACTAATATCACAATGTTTTGGAGTAAATTAGATCTGGCTTTATCGGACTGCCAATGACGATACATGAAACAACATTAACTTCCCTTAGCAGAAATACTTCTCTACATTGTCAAGGCTTCCAGCAGAAGAGGTTTGCTACAGACCCTGTCTGCTATGCAATTCTGGCAGGCAGGGTCAAGGAGAAGAGCCTTTTCCTCTGTGGCCCTGACCTGTGGAACATTCTACCACTGTAGGCGAGAACTGCTTCGGTTATTTTGGCCTCCCGGAAGAGTATTAAAACTTGATTTAGCCAGTTGGCTTGGAACCACAGGGGGGGAATGATTGATGGGATAAGAAGACCTCATTTCCATCCTATCTGTCTCCTTGGTTCTAGTTTTCTGCATAGTTTTACAACTTTTAATTCCTTTTCTATGCATAGTTTTACAAGTTTTAATTCCTTTTCTATTTCTATTATCCACCCAGAATCACCCTAACAGAAAGATGGGAGGCATATAAATTTAATAAATAAATAAGCAGCAGCAAATAAACTACTTCATGAAAAGTACTGTAATAACAAGGTCAAATCCAGGTAGTTCAAATCTTGATTACATAATTTTAAGACTACTTGCCAAAGAATGTTATAGCAAGTACCGTACTTCCAGTTTAGAGCCTCTGCAATCACATTGCAAAGCAGAATTTTCCTCTCCTGAAAAATCCGGAGATACCAGAGGGCTTTTCTGATGCCACCAATTAATATAAAGCCATCAGATGTTCTTTCTTTCCTTAGACTGGATGAAATGGCATTAGCTTGTAACTTTCTTCCTCTGAGAATGGCACCAACTGTAAGCCCATGAAACTGTAGGACTTAAGTGGGGAGTGGAAAGCTCAGCTAAGTAGATGCTAACTCAACTCCAATTGAAGCAGAAATGTTGTGAAGATTATTTAGCTGCATTTCTTCTGGAATGGTTTCCCAATGGCAAGAATTCTAGTCTTGACTTGTCTTCCAACCATGGATTTCATCATTCTCTCCTGCAATGCAGGTCCCCTCTCCCCTGCACAATAATAGCAATTTGTACTGTTTTCTGCACTCTTTCAGTGCAGAAAACCAGATAGAGACATTGGCCAACTATCTAGGTTATTCATGAAGTGGCATAAAAATGCAGAAAAGGCTATGAAAGATGGGGCTGATGGTTGTGTCATTCATATCTTTATCTCTCAACTCCTTGGAAGAAAAAAAATCTTATTCAGCCAAAAGCTAGGCACTTCATTAATAATTATGCATATGAACAATAAAGGGCAAAATCTTTTCATCTCACCATAGTTAAAATGGATTAATATTGCCCCAGCCTTAACATAGACGTGAAATAAGTTTCAAGAAGAAAGGGAGGGAGGGAGGGAGGGAGGGAGGGAAAAAGTGAAGGAAGGAAGGAAGGGAAGGGAAGGGAAGACAAAGAAAGAAAAAGAAAAAGAAAAAGAAAAAGAAAAAGAAAGAAAGAAAAAGAAAAAGAAAAAGAAAGAAAGACAGAAAGACAAACAGACAAACAGACATCTGATTTTGGAAGTGTTAATGTTATTGCACTGAATGATGTACTTAGTATATGATGCAAAACAAGAGATGGGTCAGAAACAATAAGGCCTTTCAGACTCACAAGCAGAAAAACCTATGATTATATAATCTCAATTAATAAAATGAAATCTAAATAACCAAATAAGACAAGGCTAATAACATAATAAGATGTAGCAATGGAAGAGGAAGTAATAGGGACAGGAAAATAGAATAAGCAGTCCAAAGCTTTTCAAGCCAAATATTTACTGAATAATCTACATAAACCAAATATTCACTGTTTGAAAAAACCCACATAAAACCTATGCCTCAAGAGGATATTTATATTTTATTGTGAACCTTCCTATTTTCCAAGAAATATAGGAAGAATTAAGTGCTATGGGCTGACCTAGAATATAAGCTCCCAACAGTCAACAAATACATTACAGTATTCAACAATACTGTCATGGAGTTTTATTTTGTATCCAGATGGATATAAAATAACTTCATATGATATCAATCACTTCATGTGTTACCGATAATATCATACTCTACATATTACATTGACACTTGAACAGTGTTTCTCAATCTTGGCAACTTTAAGATGTGTGGACTCCCAGAATTCCCCAGCCAGCCATTGGAGTTGAAGTCCACATATCTTAAAGTTACCAAGGTTGAGAAACACCGCACTAGATGTATATGATTTCTTTCTCAAGTATGGCTAGGATACCAAAAGGCATAGTGTGGTAAAGGAGAGCAGAAAATAATTTAGGAAAAACTAACAGTGATAGTTAATGGGAATACATAGATAGATAATGATTGTGTGCAATAGACACAGCAACCAAAACACCAGCTAATATCTTGCTGATAATTGTAGATCTCTTCCAGCTGTTCTGCAGGGTGAACATGCTTCTTCATTCCAGCAAGATCATTTTGCTTGAGCTATCATTTAAACCAGCACTCCAAGGATATGCTCCTTTGTCAGGACTGGAAGAGCCATTGCTCACATTCAGTAGCCCTAGTCCTGAGGTCTTAAGCATGACTAGGAAGGATTACCATGGTTTGTAGCCCCTGACATTATTAAACATCTTTCTATGGGAATTGCATCTAAGTGCCAAACTCAAATGATCATACACCTAGATCTTGCAATGCGTTCTCAGGTTTTTTTTTTTTAACCTGGTTGAATTTGACAAGGGAAGGTATGCAGGCACATGGTTCCATGGATCATCCAGATTATATTTAAAATATATATTTTTAATTACTCTTTTAGCATTTCACGACATGGCTATGTTCCCATGAGATATAATGGAAGCGAGATTATTAAAACATTTGAAATTGCACACGTTTTCAGGCAACCGTTAAAGAGTACTTATGTGTGCAAGTTGCATAGGATGTCACATTCTATATAAAGAGCTGCTGAACCCTGTATATTCAAAATGCACAGAGCCACATGATTGTTGTTTCATAGACAACAGATGCAATCCATTCTCTTGACACATCATTTCCAATCAGCTAACCAGAAATTAAGATGCTTACCATTATGCGACATTCCAACTGCAAGGCACTTTTGGAATCGGCAATATTGACATTTATTTCTACTTTTTTTATGAATGCGGCAGTTGAGATCACATCGATCATAGATTAATTTTAAACGGATTGTTCTGCGAAAGAAACCCTTCAAAAAAAATAAAATAAAGGGATACAAAAAATATTATCCTTAAGGAATTTCCTACCATATCAGATTTAAGTTGAAAGACAACAACGTATTTTTGGCTAGAAATATTTTAATGTTATTGTGGATTTTATCACACTCTCTACTATTTTTTGAAATCTGATTTCTCAGTATTCATTCAGAACAAAGCAATATGGTGTGTGTGTTTTAAATATTGCATTAATATGAAAGGAACTCTTTTTAATTCCAGTGGAATTTACTTTATGGTAAGTTCATTGTAGCTTAGTTAAGATATCTGCAAGAATTAAGTATACTAAATAGAGAATTTGTGTGTGCACATGTATGGAATAATTTTCTACCTTCTTATTTATAATTCTGCAAAACATTTTAAATACTCACTTAATAAATTATATTAAATTATAGTTTCTGGGAAAGTGATGTGATTGTTTAAAAGAGAAGGTTTTTTAATTAATTGCTTGATGTGACAAAATATTAAGATTGAACATGCTTTGGGGAGGTCTACATGACATATCTCCAAAAGTTGTATTTATTTCACAAGTTTGGATGGAGTGCATGAGAAACATTTTCTTACTTTGGCTTACTTCCTGTTTGAAATATATTTGTCTTGTTAGAATATTCCACTTCAGCTTTTATCTGCCCCTTAGTATACCCCGAGAGAGTAAGCACTTTAACAAATTTAGCTTTTGTCTAACAATACTAAAAATATGATTTAATAACAGAAAGTTAGCTTGCTAACAATTCTAAAAATGTGATTTAAATCACATTCTTAGAATTGTTACAAAAAACCTAAATGTGCTTGCTCTCTCAGGGTATACTAAGGGGCAGATAAAAGCTGAAGTGCAATATTCCAGCAAGACAAATACTAAACAAAACATACTTTAGAAAAGTAAGTTCCTTATTGTCATTTGCCTGTTAGTTAACTAAAACAGACAAGGAACTTTTTAGTTAAAACTAACTCAGATGATGTTTTAGATTCTATTAATACAAAATAATGAGGAGCAGCATGTTCTAATATATTTTAGAAAAGAAATAAACTAGAAGTATATGGCCCTCCTGAATTTGGTGAATTAGAAATTCTTATCTTTGACTATTGATATTACAGTAAGGGCTGATAGCATTTTAAAGAGATAAAGAAACATTTTTTTTAATGAATCATGCATTACTACAATTACCTACCTTGCAACCTTCACATGCATGCACTCCATAATGAAACCCAGAAGCTTTGTCCCCACACACCCTGCATTCAATAGCCATGAGAGAACAAGAGGCTTCTTCATGTGGTTTACTATACATCTGAAGTTTTTCTGAGAAATACGGTGGAGATGGAGGTTCTACTTTAATTGCATCTGAAGAAGAGGAAGATTTCAAAAGAAGAATTAACTAAATCCCTGATTATTACCAATTACCTCTAATTAGTATTGCCAATCTGAATGCATTCAAGATTCAGATATTTTAAAAACTATACAAGAGTTAGATATACAAAGTTAGTAAAGTCAGCAAATGGGAGTCTGAAATATCTAACCTTGCCTTTCCAGTGGAAAAAGCCAAAGTAAAACATTGGTGGCCACCAATTACTGTATATTATGTTTCTAAAGCAGAATTTGAAATCCAATTCAAAACATAGTTTCAACTATAGTTAACACAATATTTTCATTTTTTAAAACTATAATTTCTGTGAGGCAAATACTGAAAAGGGCAGTGTCCAGGAGAAGGAGCTACAAGCTGAGATTTGCCCATATATCTTGTTGATATTTCTCAGGCCCTATACTACAAAATGGGAATAATATCCTTTAGAATTTCTATATACTATGAATATACTATATATATTACGAAACTATGTATAGGACTTTTCAAAATGAATAATTACATCTGTATAATTGGTGAGGTTGTTATAGAAAGTGCTATGAAATAATTGTCTAGCTTGATAAACGTATTGGTGTCAATTATGTATGTCTCAGTTCATAAAATCAAGCTTGGTTTTGGCTGATTTGTAATACTCAATATGCTGCCTTTGGAACCTGGGCTTTCAAAAGGAGCATGCCATTAAGCTGTTGATTTTCCAAGCCATTATGCCTCTAAATTCTGGTCATATTTAAGATTAAGTGGCATTTAATACTTTGGAATGGGAAGATTGATAGCATGCACCATTAAATTATTCTTCTCTAAAAGTTGTGCTCAGAGTGAAAAAAAAATTCTATAATTCTACAACCATGAAATAGAAAACAGGCTGTTAGCTCTCCCAGTCCGGGGTGAAGTACCACCAGTACGCTGATGACACCCAGCTGTACATCTCCACCCCAGACCACCCCAATGATGCCCTTGAAGTGATGTCCCGGTGTCTGGAGGCCGTGCGGATCTGGATGGGGAGGAACAGGCTCAGGCTCAACCCATCCAAGACCGAGTGGCTGTGGTTTCTGACATCCCGATATAGTCAGCTGATGCCATCGCTGACTATTGGGGGCGAATTGCTGGCCCCCATGGAGAGGGCTCGCAACTTGGGTGTCCTCCTGGATTCACGGCTGTCTTTAGAAGAGCACTTGACAGCTGTGATCGGGAGGATTTTTCATCAGGTTCACCTGATTCGCCAGTTGTGTCCCTTTCTGGATCGGGACTCCCTACACACAGTCACTCATGCCCTCGTCACTTCCCACCTGGACTACTGTAACGCTCTCTACATGGGGCTCCCCTTGAGGAGCACCCGGAGGTTCCAACTGGTGCAGAGTGTGGCTGCGCAGGTGGTTATGGGAGCAACATGGTGCTCCCATGTGACACCTCTCCTGCACGAGCTGCACTGGCTCCCGGTGGTCTTCCGTGTGTGCTTCAAGGTTTTGGTTACCACCTTTAGAGCGCTCCATGGCTTAGGACCTGGCTATTTACGGGACCGCCTACTACCACAAACAGCCTCCCACCGGCCGGTACGCTCTCATAGAGAGGGGCTCCTCCGGGTGCCGTCAGCCAAACAATGTCGACTGGCAGCCCCCAGGGGGAGAGCCTTCTCTGTGGGGGAACCCACTATCTGGAACGAGCTCCCCCCAGAGATATGGAGGATCCCGGATCTGCGCACTTTCCGCCGTGCTCTTAAGACCCTCCTATTCCAGCAAGCCGGCCTGGCCTAATTTTCTCCCCCGTTTTAAAATTCTTTTAAATCGAAATTTTAATCTGTTTTAAATTATTGGGGTTTTTAATTGTCTCGGGCTAAATTATTTAATCTGGTTTTAATTATGTTTCTAACTTTTGTATCTATGTATTTTATTTTGTGCCTGTTCACCACCCTGAGTCCTTCGGGAGTAGGGCGGTATATAAATTTAATAAAAACAAAAACAAAACAAAACAATCCTGCTTCCTATATTACACCGATCGGTTACACAATCTTTGCTTTAGTGCACATTAATTCAAAGAATAAAAAGTATTGGTTGTATTATTTATATTTTTATTGCATGACTCATTTTGAAACTCAGTAAACCGTAAAAATTAAAGAATTATAAATCTAATGCTGCTTCTTAGTGTATCTTTCAACAGGCAGTACTACATTAGTTTCTTGTAAATTCTATATAGTCAGATCTATAATCCCAGATTTTTTATATTTCATCTTCTCTCTGAATTGAATTGAAACCACTTCAGACATTTAGAGAGGGCCTGCTGATGATAGCACTATCTCAATTTGAAATATGTGGGTGACAGGCTTTGTGGCAGCTCTCACTGTTTGGAACATTCGCCCCATTAGAGATAAACACAGCAATTACCTTGCTAGCCTTTCCCCAAACAACTAAATGGGGTGAAGTTTCAGGAGGCTACAACCTCCTAAATTGATTAGTTCCTCAAGTTGATTAAAGGATGGTGGCTACTATAGGTATAGATTAAAGATTTGTACCCTTGATTCTCTTTGATTTTTGTATTTGTGTCCTATCCACAGTATTCTGATTGGGGTGGGATATGAATATTGTGATCTTAGCTAAGATTACCAATTTATGAACTAGTATTTATTTATTTGTTTGTTAAATATATTTCCTGCCCATCTTGCTAAGGGGCTACTCTGGGCGGCTTACAACAGTAGAAACAGAGCAATGAAGAGTAAAAATAACAGTATCAAAGTAATGAAATGATACAGATAAACAATGGAATAAACAATGAAAGTAATATGAGATTGAAAATTAGTGGGGGGGGGGACTCAAGGAGCACAGAAGAGAGATGGGTTTATCTTTGATATAGTTTAAAAAGGTAAAGGTTCCCCTTGCACATATGTGCTAGTCGTTCCCGACTCTAGGGGGCGGTGCTTATCTCCATTTCAAAGCCGAAGAGCCAGCGCTGTCCGAAGATGTCTCTCTGGTCATGTGGCCAGCATGACTAAACGCCAAAGGTGCATGGAACGCTGTTACCTTCCCACCAAAGGTGGTCCCTATTTTTTCTACTTGCATTTTTTATGTGCTTTCGAACTGCTAATTGATATAGTTTACAGCCCATTTAAATGTACATAATTTTGGAATCATAAAAATTCATTTCCCACACATACATATATATATATAATTTTTTATTTTTAAATATACATAAGTATTGAATATATGAACACTGTGGTACCTGGATATTGTTAGGTTTGAATTTAACTTTTAAATTGATAAGTGTACACAGAATGATAGTTCTAGTCTTTTTTGTTGCGAAGGCCAAGCAACAGTTTTTTTTTTAATTTAAGGAAATAACTATAATCTTAAAATATGATTGATTGTACCAAAGGGTCTTTTTTGTAGATCCTAATAGCCTAAAAAATTATTTTGTTGATACAACATAGCAACAAAACAGGAATTTATAGCATATAAATTATCAACCTATCACTAAACTATCACTAAATCAGTGGCCTTTTACTATGGAAGAATGTATGTTTATCTGTATTCCGGATTGTATAAAGCAAGATTTTTCAAATTGCGTTCAGTTGATGGAGTTTTGTGAGAGACTTAAGGAAGTCACTTGAGCTTTGCCTCCTGATCAGTCTTAGGAATTTTTTTTTTAACTATCAGGTTTCACAACCTGAAAACCCCTGATTTAAAGCTGTTCACTAGTTAATTTATAAACTATTTTATTTATTTATTTTTATTTATTTTTATTTTTATATGCCGCCCTTCTCCGGAGACTCAGGGTGGCTTACAATGCGTTAAGCAATAGCCTTCATACTTTTGTATATTTTATACAAAGTCAGCTTATTGCCCCCACAAACCGGGTCCTCATTTTACCCACCTTAGAATGGATGGAAGGCTGAGTCGACCTTGAGCCTGGTGAGAATTGAACTCGCAGTAATTGCAGGCAGCTGGATGTTAAATGCTGCCTTAGTAGGAGGCATTAGCCTCCTACGCCACTCAGTCTCCTATAGTGTTTGATACCAACTAAAGCTGAACACTCTTCTAATAACTACAATGATCAAGCCATAAAAAGTTTACATACTTTGACAATCTTGAAATTTCACATCATATTTATAGTCAAGGGCTATCTGGTCAGTTCTTGCAAGAGGGAGGTCCTCATAATGTGGAGAAGAAAGGCTGGAAAAATCAACGGTGCTGAAGGGCTTTATGTCAAAAGCATGGGAGTGTTCATCCATTGCAGAAAGATCAACTGGGCTAATACCAAAGTTCATGGGCCAAAACGGCATTTCGGTATCAACCATTGTAAAGCCTGAAATTAAAAAGAAAAAGAGAAAAAAGTGAGACTCAATATTTATAAAATAAAAATTTACATCACTACAATTACATTCACATTCCAGAAAAATAATGAACAAAGCCAGAAATACTCAGAAGTGCTGGTCTGACACAGTTCTGTAAATATTTTCAAAAGCAAGACATACCAACGATCTATGAATGGTTGCAAATCTTCTGGTTTTTAGTGATGTTACTTTTTTATTAATATCAGAAGTGGTATGCTGGATTTTTTCCCCCCTGGGGAAAAGGAATCCAATAAATCTAGGGAGGGGATGTTGTCATTCTATAAACAATGATCCCTTTGATCTTTGCTTGAGACCTCCAATATGATGCTTTTGCAGTTAAAATAAGTATCCAGTAGAAAAAGATGGTGATAGTTATGCCAAGACAATTAACCAGAATTGGATCTGGTTAATGAGGTGGTTAATGGTTAAGAATCCTAAACCTGTAGACTACATTAGAAAGTAGAAATATCATCATAGAAGGTGGCCATGGTTCACCAATTCTGTATAGTTACCAAGAAAACTACATAGATGTCCCAGATGCTTACTAGGAGGTGACTTATTATTGCAAGATTTAAACCATTTTGCTCAGCAGAATTAAGTAGTGCTCATAGTACATAGTACAACTGTTCTTTCACACAAGAATTACTTTTTCAGACAGAATGCTGCCTACAACTGTAAAGAGTCAACTTTGGACTTCATGACAAATGAACAGATTCCACAAAATGCAGCAACAACCACTAAATTTTTGTATTTGCCTAGAACTGGAAATCCAGGAACTGTTTACCAAGTCTGGAATGGTAAAATACTCATATCTAAATTAGGATCAGGCTAGATCTTATTAATAATTCTAAAAAAATAAGAAAACACACACAACATACCAATTTGAAAAAAGGGGAGACAGAGGCAGGAAAGCAATGTCTTTCGAAGGCCACAAGTGAACACTTAATTTTAGGCATATATAATACCAGTTTTGAAGTAGGCAACTGCTTAATTAGCACCAGAGATATATGATATGATACACAGACACACACAAACATATAGGTATGTGCAAGACTAGAACTGTACATCATAGAGGCATATATATATACACACACACACACACACACACACACACACATATACATATACATATAAAAATAGGGAAGCTGACTGTATTTGGCTTGATATTTCATTTGAAACTTGGAATACTAGCATGCATGGACTTTATACCTTTATGTAATTAAAACTGGTTTGGCTCTGTTTACTTTGAACCAGCCAGTACTACCCTGCCTTCCTTCCTAAAAATGGTTTTTAAAATAGCAGCAATGGTCTATCGACTGTAATAACATTAGACTCGGGAGGAGAGGCTTTTGTCAACGTTTAACTTCCTTGGTGACATAGGCAAACATATCACTGGCCCTGGGTATCCCAGCTCTGGTAAAAGTTGTACCCTGTGACCTGGGTGAGTCTGGACATGCCTTAAAGTTTGCAATCCTCAGCACACTTCTTTGGAAATTCCCCCCTCTTCCTCCATCAGTATTTTCTGCTGAGCAAATAATTTTCTCAGCAGGGTGGAAAACTCCTTTTAAAAAAGTGATTTCAATATTTTCAACTGAAAAACAATTAAACCCTCTGTTGATAGAGATATCATAAAAATGAAAAAAAAATCTGAAAAGCAGAGGACTATATGGGCAGTCAGTCTCTCTCAGCCACACCTACTTCTACTCATAGGGTTTTGAAGTCTTGGACAACTTGCCCTGGCCAACTTGTCCCGGCTGTCTTGCCCTGGCCGACTCACCACAAGCCAACTTGTTGCGGGACAATTCAGCACAGGATAACTCAAGAGAGGAATGAGTTAATTGCAGCGATCCTTGTCTTGCTTTAGATTTGAACCTTCTCAAGTTAGAAGTCCTCAAGGCTGGGGGTGAGCTGAAATGTTACTTGTCCCTCTGTTGAATTATCCCATGTTGAATTGTCGCACAGAGTTGTCTTGTGACGAGTTGACCATCACAAGTCGGCCGGGACAAGTTGTTCCATTCCAGAGTTGTTGTGGGAAAAAATATGGAACATTAGCTATGCTTCTGGAGCTCTTGAGTAATGTGTGTGTGTGTGCGCGTGACATAAATATGCCATCTACAGTACATACATCATACTTCACCAAAAAGAATACATCAGATCCAGTGATTTAACCAAGGTTCCCTAGAAATTCTGTGTCTGAGAAATTGTGCACTCAGTCTTTGTGCTGTCAACATTCAGCAGTGCAATTTCCTGTGGCTCTGCAAAAGAGGAATTTCAAGACTTGCATATGGTCAATAGACAAAGGATCGCCAACTCCTAGTTTATGCAAAACCCTCAGTGTGGTGTCAGTTTTAATTTTCCTGCCATTTTTCCAACACCCAAATCTACATTCATTTTTTTTTGTTGCTCCTGGGAAGCCATTAATGAAAGATAAAGACTCCTAGTCACCACATAGCCATCTCCATTGGAAGCCCCCTTGTGAGACTCATAATCTACACTTTTGAGTCTAATGTTCCTTCCTTGGTTTTATCCAAGTTTTGCAGAAAATAATTACAAATGATTGAATTTACATAAAGGTCAGAAGTGTTAAAAGTGACCGATACTGTCCTTTTGGTTTGAGGGAATGCTGCATGTGGCATGACTATGGCTAAAAATGGCAGCCTAGTTTATCTTATGAAAGCATTATAAGAAATCTCAGGTGACCAAAGATCTGACAGGAAAAAATAAATGTCAGTGTCAAAGTTCTTCTGGTGGCAATTATGGTATATGGAAAATTGTGACTTTGAGTCTTCTATAAAAGGCAAAGAGCATGAATTAGTGAATGATCTGAATGAAGATATTCAATACTTATAGTCTGGAGCTAATGCTCCAGGAAACACAGGAAATTGGAAGGGGATGTTTCATTATGAGAGGAACAGCTAAAATGTATGTCAGGAAATATCATCTAGTGTTATCTAGGTTGCTATGGAGCAAATAAAAGTAGAAATCCAAAGTTTGTGATAATTGTATGTGACACTCAAGGATAATGTAAGAACCAGAAATGAGTTCTGAGAAAAAAATGTATTATTTTGAAGGCAAGGGGGTAAAATTGTTAGGTTGATATGCATGAGATAAGGAGAATCCATGACCTCAGTGCCTTCCGCCGTGCCCTTAAAACCTTCTTTTTCCAGCAAGCCTAATTTTTTTAAGTGTTTTTAATTGTTTTGTTTATCGTTTTTAATTAATGGGGCCAAATTTATATATATATTTTTAACTGTATTTTAATATTTGTATTTGATGTTTTTACTTGGCTGTTCACCGCCCTGAGTCCTCAGGGAGAAGGGCGTTATACAAATTCAAAATAAAATAAAAATAAATAAAATGAATAAGGAAAAATCATTCAAAAAAAGTGATTGATCATTCAGAAATCCAAGAATTAATAAGAATGGTGACAGTTAGGTACCTGATTAGAAAAAGGGCTGTTTTGAATACATGGTTTAATGATAAGTCCATCCATATGTACACATAGCAACGGAATGAATATAAATTTAAAAGCATGGTTGATTTGAGGGATTATGATGAAAAATGCATATAAAAAGAAGAGGAAAGAAGTGAAAGAAGTAAAAGTAGAAAGGTAGGAAGAGAACATACATATCCTACATTAGTGGTTAAGGTACCAGGCTAGCAACCAAAAACCAAGAGTTCTAGTCTTGCGTTAGGCACAAAGCTAACTGGGTAACCTTGAGCCAGTCACTCTTTCGCAGCTCCAGAAAGCAGGCAATGGCAAACCACTGAAAATGGCAGAACAGGCAGTCATCAGGAGTCAAAACTGACTTGAAAGCACATGCACACACATAAAAATTCCCCAAACATAATCACTGGACATAAGAAAAAAATGTAGAAACTGGAACAGAGGGAAAAGAATTATTTTACAGTGAGCTACAGAAGTGTGTGGAGCTACATATATGAAAGGCCAGTATGAATAAGGATGCTCAATAGAACTGTTGCAATGAAAGTCACTTTGAATGAAGAAAAAATTGCATATCAGAACAAAACTGAGGTTAAAAAAGAGAAAAAGACAGTCACAAGCAATGTAGCTAAGAAAATGAAACTGCTAAACTTAAAAGTGACCAATAAAATGTACCGTGATTTTGAAAGGAAAAAATGGTTTTGAAAATGGGTGAAGAGGCAAAGGAAAGAGTTCCAGCAGAATGGATGGAACTAAAAATAATAAAAGTGATGAAATGATTTCGGATAAAGCTGAAATGATGGTAGACAAAGTGCATTACAGATTTTACAAGAATTATAATAATGTGTTGAAGAGTAGAATGAGTGTGAATATTAGTGTTCAAGAAAACTAGATGAAAAAAAATGTGGTGAAAATGTTAAAAAACTCCAAGCTTGCAAAAAATACTGAATGGTGCTGATATTAGGTGTGTTTCCTTTTGTCATCTCATACCTTAATTCCTTTGGTTTATGATTACTTACTCTTATCTGTGCTATATATAATGTTGCTTATCCCAGAAAAGAACACAATTAATATGTAAAAATTTATGTATGAATTTACCAGCTGCTGCAATTCTTTGAGACTGTAAACCTTCCTGTTGTGTTAAAAAAGCTAAGTCAAATATTAATGAGATCAAACTATCTCCCCAGCAACTGTCTCCCAATTAGAGTGCATGGTTGTATTTATTAATTTATCACATTTATATGGCCACGTATCTCATGGAAAGTGACTATTGGTGGCATATAATAATTCAATGGCACATTATTCATTCTTAGGGCACAATTTGTTTTGCTTAGGTTTGGCTTGACAGGATCAACAAAGTCATACGTTGTGATTTATTAACCATGTTTTATAGCCTAGGATTGTGTGATCCAGGCCACCATGTCTTATTCAAAATCAAACCACAGTTTGCACAGTGTTTGAATCCAGCCAGAGAAAGAACCCTTTAATTCCCCTCTCGTCCAATATACTGAAACTGCATCAGAACTG